TCCTGCTGAGAATTGGCATCTGTTTCAGTTTGAACTGAAATACTATCTGAAAAGTAATGTTTCAAGAGATGATTTTTAATACCTCTGATTTTTATTCTTGTTTCGGACTGGAGGAAGATTGATGGTGTGTCTGTAATATGTTTGTTTTCTTTATTCACCATTGCCAATCTTAATATATTAACCAGTCTCTTTAAGAAACAAATGTACTGACAATGGACAATTTTTTTTCAAGTAACATGGTATGCAATTGTGTATATAAACAGCCTTATTTTCTCTATAAACAGAAAAGATTTTTATGCTTACAGTATTTACTTTGAAAGACTAGAAGAACTGAGCTCATTTCTGCTGTGCTGGAGGGCTTAGCAGCTTGCTATACAAGAGGACTCTACATGCCAGTGTATGCTGCAGAGAAGACCTTACTAGTGGTTTTCATAGTGCAATGTAGTGTGTATTTGAAGCATTGGGAACATAGCCAATTGATTTGAATGCAGGCACATCCTAAAAAGGATAGAAAAACCAAAATAAGACCTAACCACAAAGTGATCTCTTGCTGTTTTCTGCCATATCCAGCACTTTATAGATGTTCTAAGCCTTTCCTTAGATGGAGCTTAAGTCTCCTGCTGGGACTTAAAGCCAGAGGTTCCTGGCTAGAGGGTCTCAATTGTCATCTTTAGGATCAGGAAGGAATATTCCCCCATAGTCAGAGTGGTATGGACTGTGGAAGTTCTTGCCTTCCACTGTTGTGGCGGGGTGTGGCCTAGGGATATAAAGGTTAAACGGTTATAAATATATTTAAACCATTAATGCATTACAGTTAACATTTAAAACAGACTACATTGCATGAATTATTGCGTGGTTTACCAGTACTACTTTTCCAGACTACCCTTCCCTGAGGCAGCCCAGCCCACCTTTGCACACTGCCTGCCTCTTCCACCAGCACTTTGGTCTGTGTAAATCAAAGTGCTGGGGCTGAGGCTGGGGGAAGAGATGATGGAGCTGAGCCAAGCGAGTCTTCTCTCCAGAGGAGGAGAAGCGAGGAAGGGGAAGTAGGACAGGATGCAATGGCCAGCACGAGGAGCGCCTCTTACCTCTTGCATGTGTCTCGCCCTGTGGCAAGCAAATCGTGTACTGGCTACTCCATAGATATGTGTTATTGGTTAACCAAAATCGTGATTTGGAGTGTTAAAAGAATTCACAGGTATCATCAGGTATTAGGTGACGGGTCGTGATGTGAACGCTTCTGCTATGGCTCCCAGCCTAAGCAGTGTGCATCTGCTGGCTGGCATCGCTCTGTCTGATATCAGAAGAGCAGTGGCCAGCAGTATAGAATGATCGAGACAACCTAAAGATATGAGATGCTCATTGTATAACCATCCCACAGGACACAAATGTCTGAAGTCACAGAGGAGCTTCCTCACCAGCACCTAACATCTCAATGTCACACCCAAGGAGATGCAACTACAGATGTGGAATGAGAGGCTGAAGAAAATACCTGACAGTGAAAAAATGTAAATTCCAGCAGCTAAGTCCTTACCACCAGGGGCTGACAAATCATGACAAAGGTGACGATGGCATTGTCTCAACTGCATAAGTACCAGTGTCAGACATTCCAAGGAATTAATGAAGAAATGGGACTATACAATCAGTTCAACCACCTGTCACTATGGCACAAAACCTCAGACTATGCAGCACCTGCTTCAGTGCTTGCTGCTCAAAGGCACGTGTACAATGAACGATCTCGCAAAGTACAACAAATTAGTACAAGCATGCGTAACAAAATGGTCAAATGTGAGGTAGAGACATGAGAAGAAGTTTGGTTAAACAGTTAACCATTATAATATATATAATTAGAAGAGTTTAAATGGCTAATTTTAAAAATTATATTTACATCCCTAGTGTGGCCTTCTACCTGAGATCTCTTGCACATATATTAACAGCCTTTTATAAAAGCAGTATGTTGGGTGATGTGGTTTTCTGCCTTACCTGTGGTAGGCTAGGGTGTTATGTCTTGTATTGTGTCAGGGTTGGCGGTAGTTTAGTAAGAGTTTAGGTTATGGATTTATATAGGATGGTTTGGATAGGGATGATCCTTCCTCAAGCAGGGGGCTGGATTAGATGACCTCTGGTGGTCCCTTTCAGCCCTACTTCTCTATGATTCATTTGCTTTTGGCCCTGTAAATGTTGAAGCCTCACTCCATCAACATCATCATCATCATCATTCTCCACTTCCTCACTGCTTAAGAGCCCTATTCATAACCTGGCACTTTATTGTGTTAGACCTTGTATAAATTTAAAGCAAAAAGATGTGCCCATAGTTAGAGAGCTTTTTTATATAAGTTAAAGAACAGGGACAAGATATGGGCTGCACAAGTACAAGAAATTAGTTTTGGTCTGCACAATAGGTATGGTCTCAGCACATCTACACTATGTCAGATTTTTTGTTTTTTTGAGAGTAACAAAAGGAGACTTTGGAGCAGAGACGTGATGGAAGATATTTATTTGTTTGTTTGCTTGTTTGATTCATATGTCATCTTCCACAAAAGGGTCAGGGCTTCTTATAATAAAAACAAGACAAACTATAAAAAACAGATAAAATATTGAAATGAAATAGTAATAAAACAACTCCACAAACAGTGCTGCAAACAATATCCCCCAAATTAACCCTGTCTGCTAAAACCTGCCCAAATGAAAAGGTCTTCCAAAGCTTCCAGGTGTCCAGGCTTGGGCTCTGACTGGTCTCAAGGGAGAGCTCTGTGAGATGTTTACTGGGAATTGCTCCCAAGTGTGAAAGGCAGCGTAGAAGAAGCACAAAGCCATGTGTTATAAAAAGTTAACCCATGAACAGTTGGCTTGACTGGAGGTGGTGCTTGACATATTGAAAGTGAAAGATGATAGATAGTGTGAGAACAGGCCTTGGAGGGCCCTGACAGTGAATTTAAGTAGCATAAAAGAGAAGGCAGAGCAAGTAGAAGGAGGGAAAATAGAGAGAAAACACTATGAAAACTTTAGGCAAGCACAACATAATGTTTTTTTTCAGGATGATATTTACACTTGCTCTGTTCTTTTATGAACAGATACTTAGCAGTTCAGATACAGGAAATTAAGAAGTTAAGTTGACTAGAAGTTAGCCAAGGTGCCTATTGCCAAATGCAAGAACTTAATGACTAAAAGAAGGCCTTAAAGGATTTTTCAGTGGGCTTCAGTTTATTTTTATCATGAAGTGTTGATTACTGTCAGTGGGAGACGGGCTGAACAGGCTGGGACTATTTACTTTAAAAGGAATTGAATTAGAGACAATTGACAGATGTATGAATAATGAATGGTGTAGAAAATGTAAACTGAGATTCTGTTTTCTCTACTTCATCCCAAAAGGAGACAACATACAACGGACCTGAAAAAATAGCAAATTCTAATTGATAAAAGAAAATATTTTTAACTCATAGAGCAATAGAGAATATGGATACTAGACTAAATTAGCCAAATATCTGATGCAAGATGACAATTCATAGGGAAAATTGAGACAGGCTAGTCCGATTACTGTTTAATGTTCCAGTGAGTTTGTTAAATTTTCTGTATTGTGTCACTATGTTGAGTACTGTCCATACAATTTGATTCCCCTTTTTGTGTATCATCAGCAATTACCTTGTTCAATTTCCATTATTTTAGGTTCTATGAAAATAGTTAACTGACAAATGGAAATGCTTAACTATGTGCAGTTGTGAAAAATAAATGGAAAGATTTGCAAATGACTCTGGGTGTTTGGGGAACAAGAATTTACACATAAAATGCATTGTCTGTTTCACTGTTCCAGGTATTCCAGGACCTTGGCACATCTGTACTCTCTGGGGCCTTTAAGGGATATAACATCTGTCTCTTTGCATATGGACAGACGGGTTCAGGAAAGACATATACAATGATGGGAACTCCAGTGAGTTACAGCACCCAGTCCATTCTCTTGATCTTTTTAAGAAAAGAATATCTGTTTAGTAAAAATTTTAATTCATGGTTAATGCCCCAGTTAAGCAAATTATTTGCCATGTTTTACTTAGGCATATCTACGCATGAAGTTAAGTACCTGCTTAAGTCCATACCTGAATGATATAACAACAGCTACAATTATAAGTATGTGGTATAATTAAAATGTTTCTTCTGGGACCTTAGTCCTTTTATTTTATAGACATGTGATTTATCTGTTTTGCTGAAAATATTGTGTACCCTGAACTTCTAGTTATTTGTAGCAACTACTTTATGACACCACAAAACAATGTTATCTTTCCTGCCTTGACAGTCAAACCCATGTTGAAGGTAAATTATTTTCACAAAAGGAAAAAAAGTGTATAATTCTTTAGGCCATCTTTCAGCTTTAAAGTAGTAGTCCAGCCATGGGAACATGGCACTCAGTGCAGGCTAGCAAACCTACTTGAGAACCTGAGAAAGTTGGATGATTAACCTGAGCCTCCATGCTATTGCAGCTGGATTGCTGCCAAATATCTGTGCTAGCTCTCACTTGTTTACACCATGATGCTCAAACTCCAGCCCGTAGGCCACAGTTACTGAGCCACATCGTCTGGAGTGTGGGGATCCCTATGGGTCTGGTCATGGGTTTGGTGGCAGGGGAGTAGTAACATCAGTTATTGCTCCTCATGTGCACTAGGTCATCAAGCCACGGTGGGGTCAGCACAGTCTGGTAGGTACATGGCTGCATCTGGCATGCAGGGTTGGGTCAGTGTATGACTGGACCCAGTGTGTGGGGTCTTTTTGGGATCTGGCATGAAGAATCAGGCCGGTGTGCAGGTGGATCTGGTGAGCAGGATCAGGCTAGTGTGTGGCCAGATCCAGTACGCAGCTGGATCCTGTGTGTGGGATTGCCCCTGTGTACTGACCCCATGCATGGGATCTGGTTTAGGGACCAGCCTCACCCAACTCATCCAGCCCACAGGGTTGGAGGGCTGAGATCCACTGGTCTACACTCCACTGCAGTCACAATGATAATTGTAGTGTAGACATGCCTTAAGTCTTTACCTCAGCCATGAGCTATGATAAGTGGAGGTATTTCATCTTGACAAGATACACAAGGTACACAAGACGATTTCCAGAGCAGGTAAGACTAGTATCAAAGTACTCACAGATACAGCCACCATTCTATCTGTAGAACATTTCTTCCCTTTAGCGGGTTCCTTTGAGAGGTGGTGTGGCTGGCAGATCTGTAAATTGTCACTTATCCAGCACTGAGAATGTTCCAAGGTGGCGAGTTACTTGACCTTCTCCATGATCACTGCTTTTGTATTGCTCCATTCCCTGTAGTTTTTCCTACACTTATTAAAATGACCCTTTACAGGAAAACCTGGGACTGCAATCATAACATATAATTTTTTTGGTTTATTTTCCTAAAAGGCATCCGTTGGGCTGACACCTCGTATATGTGAGGTATTTAGTTCTTTTACTAACTTGCATTTGTTTAATCTGTTTTTTTAAGGAGGGGGGGGCGTTTCTCATTTTAAAAGATCTTTTGGTTTTGCAGGGCCTTTTTTCAAGACAGGATGATTATTCAGAACAGCCAGCATCTTGCAGAGTAGAAGTCAGGTAGGAGAATCACTGATTTTAGCCATATGTGCTAAAATGTTTTCTAAAGTTTGTTTCCATAGGCCAACATATTTAATCCTCTTTTCTCTGGAATGTCAGCCATTTGGGGTTGGAAAATCAAATTGGCAGATATGTTCCAGCTCACAAGGTTGTTATATATTCGGATCCAGTGCATGCAAATGGGCCACAGCTTGATCTGGTGCTCAGAGTGCTCCATAGCTAGATCCAGTGTGTGAGGTCAGACTGGCACACAGTGTTGCTTGGTGGCCACATCTGGCATGCTGGGCTGGGCCAGCACATGTGGTTGTTGTGCACTTAGATCTGGCATGTGGGGCCAAGCTGATCATACCTGCAGACCAGTCCTATGTGCTGACCCTGTGCAGGATCTGGCTTGTGGACCAGCCTTGTGTCACTCATCTGGCCTACGGGGCTGGAAGGTTAAGCACCACTGCTTTAGCGTGTCAACAGTCTTTATAAACAGCTAGCAGCTGTGGGTAAATTTTTCTCCTGCTTCTTGGCAATTGATGGCTTCTCAGCTCCTTTTTAAGTGTCTGTGTGGACATGTAAGAAAACATGATGAGAGAGGCAATGAAGAGGAATGCTTTAATTTTTTTTAACAGGAAATGTCCCTGCCAGGGCTGCAAGCTGCAAGTGCAAATTGTCATTGTCCAAAGAACAATTAGTGATTTTTTTTTAAATAGCAGGTGGCAGAGAGATGACATATTCTTCCTCCTCTTTTTCTTCAGTTTCCTTGAAATCTATAATGAGCGTGTCCGAGATCTGTTAAAGCAGTCTGACCACAAGAAACCTTATACGCTTCGTGTCCGAGAGCACCCTGAGACAGGTCCATATGTGCAAGGTGAGACAGAATTTCAGTTTGGATTACAAATTAATGCATACATATCCATTATATTTGTTCAATTGCATTTCCAGCATGATCTTTGTCATTCCCATTGTTTTCCCAGTCTTAAGAGGCTAATATGAAACAGTCTGAGGGATTCAAAATGCTCCCAGCAAGATATATGAAATCCAATAATTCTTAACAGAAAATATGAAATTCTAGCAGAAAGACTTGCTTTATGTGTGTAATTTGAATGCATTTAATAAAACATAGAATAAAATATTTCCTGTACTGGATCAAGTGACTGATTTATTGAGCCTGATAATCTGCTTCCCACAGCAGCTGCAAATCAATGTTTCCTGAGAAGATAAAATAATAAAGGTCTTGACTAATGCTAGGTAGATAGATTTCTTTGCAACACTGAAAGAAATAGGAAGAATGCCTTTCTCGAAACTGACATGGCCATTTAATTGACTTCTATTTGCAAAATCTGAGAAGGTTCAGATTTGCATGTTGACTGCAGACATTTTGGTCTGCTTACTTTAATTTACTTTTTCAGAAATCTACTCTGATCAGTAAGGTCATGTACATAATTTACACTTTTCCTTTTGTGACCAGCCTGATCTGTACCTGGTATAGGCCTAGGCCAGAGGAGCAGAGGTGCATTAGGTGTCATCAAATGAAAGATCCTACCATATTAAATCATACCTGCAACAACAACTAAGTGTGTAGGGGGCTTGGGTTTTAGACCATAAGAGGAGGAGGTTAAATCATAGGAAATAGTAGTAAAGTTAAGGTTTGTATGAGATTCCTAATTTCATATTATTAGCCCTTGACTCTTAAGAATTTTTTGAACTACAATTCTCTAATTTCCTGATTTTCAGATGCATGCTTTCATTTCAGTGGAACTTGAACATTAAACTTAGAACTTCGCAGTTTCCAGACTTAGAGCTACTGTATTTTCTGCACGTTTAACCCACACCTCCCCCCAAAACCAGCTGGTGGAAATAGGGGTGTACATTATATGTAAAATACAGATCCCCACGGGTCTGGGAATTTGGTGGCAGGGGAGCAGTGGCAGTGTTATAATTGCCATAGTTCTGGGATCCATGATAATTAATGCTCACTGTTTCCCCAGCACCAAATTTCTGGATCTGAGGGAGCCTCCCAGCCAGATGACCTGGCTTCATATACTGGATCATGTTGGCATGTGAGGTTGGTCCGTAGCTGGAATTGGTGTGCTTGATCAGACTGAGCGTCAGGTCAGACCTGATGTACCATGTTGGACCTGGCGCACAGTCCTGGACCCAGCATGCTAGGTTTGTCCATGGGCCCCATCCAGCTCACAGGACTGGCTGCAGGTTCAGCTCCCTAGCTGCTGTTTCTTAGTTAATACAAGGAAGATGGTTTTCCCCTTCATGCTGCCTTTCAAAAACAAGGTGCATATTATATAAGGGGGATGTGATGTATGCAAGAAAAATATGGTATTAAAAAAAAATCTACTGGAATTTTGTCTTGCATTCTTTTTTTTTTAATGATCCTTTTACAGTTCTCATCTTTTTACCTACAATCTTTTCCCCTCTGAATTCTTCCTGCCTTTTGTTGTCTTTACTTCCCTTTTGCCTCTGCCTGAGCTTCAGAAGCATTACATAAAATACCAATTGCTGCTGTGTGATTTTGTTGATAGTATGCTATGCTGAGTTTGGCCTGTACAGATCCAAAGAATCTACTTGGTGATTGACAGAAAATAAAATGCTTCCTACAGAATCAATAGGCTACTAGCAGTAGCAGTAACCAAGTGATTTTTAAGGCTGTATAAAGCATCTTACTGGTGTGAA